AATCTGCTGAGTTCCACAGAGTTTGGACGATTTTCGTTGTAAAATTTAAGTAATGTAATGGTGAAGATACAGTGCGATCTCGAACTCCTGGCGTTGAGGGCTGTTGCAGCGACTTTTAAATTACACTGTCCAGCCATTAGCACTTGGTATGCTTCGGAGCCTGAATGGACACATACAGTTTTTAGATTTTTTATAAAAGCCCTTCCTTGGCTGTCTGCGGCCAGTTTTAAGGGTATTCGACGCTTTTGGGTTTCGCTGGATAACAAGTCGTAGATCACTTCGTTATAGATCTCTGCGAAGGACACCCACACTAGGTACTGGGCATCTGTTGCCTGACTTGGACGCTGAGGGGATTCTTCCTGTAGAAGCTTCTGCATTTGCTTGTATGCACTTATGTATTGGGATGAAAGGATTTTTGTTGTCGTTTCCATCTCGGCTAAACGCTCGGATGCTGTGAGACTTATTACAGTATTATTATCAACTGGCTTGTAGCAAGGAGAGGTCCTTGGATTTATGTTGGAAAAAACGTACTCCAAACTCCTAGGTATTATTCCTGGACACGAAGTCGAACCCTGGAGAGTGTGGGATTTTCCTGAATTCGTTGTGCCATATGTCATGGCGATGCAGTTTCGCCCATCGAAAAATTCCTCCATCTGTGGCCGAATTACCCTCTCAAACAAAGATAGTTGTGTAGTATCAGGTCCAAAAGTTTCGGTGAATGTAAATTTCCGGCACACAGTATCTATCTGACAATTTTTCTTCATAGAAACGGTTGTTGTGTCAAGGCATGGGATTCGTGTGAGAAGAGTTGTAGTGTTGATGATCTCATAGGCCTCTTTCTGCTCGTCTGGCAGTTTCATTTTTCTGGGAAAAGGTTTGAGGCGTAAAAATACCTTGACTGTCTGTCTGGACAAAACATCAGGCCCCAGGGAGGTGCCATCAGAGTAGATCGACTCTTCAGTCTCATAATCAGAGGAAAGATTCTTCTTGCACTGTGCTGATGGTCCAGGACGTTGACTATATGCTAGAATGCTGGGATCTCGTCCATAGAGATATGACATTTCATTCCTCATGCCAGCACCATCAGAAGGCCTAATGGGGTCCAGTAGTCGATCACCCTAGAAATTTCCAATTCCTCAATTTATCGAATTTAAGAGCTATAAAGCAAAATAATCTTCACTCTCGGTTTCCAAAATATTGCAATAATCTAACGGTGTGAATCTTTCTATCTCCATAAGTTCCATTAAATAAACAATAGTCCCACCGTGATCCAACTAAAGGTCAAAAAGTCGTATCACCAAAATGACAAAAGCAGACGACTTTTCAATATCTCCAGATCGACTGAATTAAATCTAAGAAGCTCAAGGCCATTTTAAGGAAGTCTAAGGAAAATTAAACACACAATGGCTCCACCATAATCCAACTGAAGGTCAAAAAGTCGTATTATCAAAATGACAAAAGCAGACGAATTCCCAATATCTCCAGATTTATTAAATTAAGTTTAAAAAGTTCAACGCCATTTTGAAGGACTTGCACTATCGTCGAAATTGATATAGGACTCACGAGGTGTCGATTTAAATCCCTTTGTTCAGACAGACAAAAATCAGGATTGAAAATATAAATTATCGTTTACCCTTTCAGCGATCCCTTGAATTTTATTGATGTTCGTATCAACCAAATTTTCTCAACAATTAAAAATACATCTTACCTTTGATACATTTGCGGTGAATCCACTCATGATTGTCAGTGTTAATTGCAAAAAAAATTTCGAAATCGAACAAAACAATGTAGAAATCTTAGAGCACGTTATTTCCCTCGCACGCTACCACGTACCACTTGATGCTGCTGTCAAATGAGCGGCTTTACGGTTTGCAAACGGTTACAAAGTTTTGAATTCTCTCGGCCGCCATTGGTCCCCCAGAAAACATGTTTGGACTTGTTTCCAATGGCTACGACCAATCACATCAGACCAAACACCTAACAACCACAAACCAGTGCCCAAATAACTCGCAAATAAATTCGCAATTGAATAATCGAATTCAATCGATCAAAAATTAACCGACAGAATTCATATTTAATTAGTAAAGTAAATATTTCCTGTATTAGCACCAGAGATTACAGACTACTCCATCAAAAATTCCATCGACAATTCTCGCCATAAATTGAAGTAAACATACTGAAGGACATGGTGCAATCTTTTTTATGAAAATTTCCATCAGTTTTCGGAGCCAAAGCCAAAGATTCCAAAGCAGAATAGAAAAAGGTCTTGCATAACCTCAATATTAAGGACATTCCAACTGCTCCAACTGCTGCAACAAGCATCTTCAGTTTTTATCAGTGAGAATGACCGTCAAGCTCACTTGAAAAGTTTTGTAAATACGTTTGACCTCACGAGAGATAAAATAGAAAAGACAACGGAGTTAATTCATCACCTGACAATCAGGTAATCAGGTAAAAAAAGAAAATACCTGAGACCCTCCAGTGGGTGTTTGTTCTATACCATACCGAATGGAAAAATCATAAGAACTTGTTGTTACTAAAATATTTGCAATATTTCGGAAATTTCCTCACTGAACATTTATATTTTTCATCTTTTGTTTGAGCAAATCTTAAATGAATTGAAGAATTATAGTTTTTTATTTAGCATTCCCATATTATATGGAAAATCTTTAGAATTGCTGGAAATTCCAAAAAATTGAGGCAACAATTTCAGCCCATAATAGTGAAAAATATTTTTAAAAATGGCTTGCTAATGGAAGCTCAGTTCTCAATGAATGCTTTTTAATAATAACGATTCAATTTTATTTCAGAAAAGGGAATAAAAATGTCTGAGTAATTTGTGGGCTGCATGGTGTCCATAAATTGCGTGGACGACCTGGGGAGTTATTAGGATCAGATATCAGATTTAAATGGTGAAACAGTGACGATATCGATCTACCATCCCAGGTGATAATAAATGCGAAGAACATCGAGAATTCGGAGACAATATCAACAGGAAGGAAGCAACTGACCGAGAAGTTCAGTCGAGTAAAGTAACAATTAAGAGTCCAATAGTGAAAAGAGTCAGCAGATCAGTATTAGAGTGCATTCCCACATCATTGCCATCAGCCACTTAGTCCTCGAAAAAGTTTGGAGTACGTTTTTTCCAAGATAAATCCAAAGACCTCTCCTTGCTACAAGCCAGTGCATAATCATGACGTATTAAGTCTCACAGCATCCGAGCGTTTAATCGAGATCGAAACGAAAACAAAAATTCTGTCATCAATAATAACGGAGAAGTCCCAATACGTAAGTGTATACAAGCAAATGCAAAAGCTTCTAGAGGAAGAATCCCCTCAGCGTCCAAGTCAGGCAACAGATACGCAGTACCTGGTGTGAGAGTCCTTCGCAGAGATCTACAACGAAGTGATCTACGACATGTTGTCCATTGATACCCAAAAGCATCGTACACCCTTGACACTGGCTTGCAGGTAGCCAAGGGAGGGCTTTCATAAAAAATCTGAAAACGGTGTGCGTCAATTCAGGCTCTGAAGCGTACCAAGTGCTAATGGCTGGCCAGTGTAATTCAAAAGTCGCTGCAATAGCAGTCAACGCTAGAAGTTCCAGATCTCACTGTATTTTCACAATTACATTGCTCAAATTTTCCAACGAAAATCGTCCGGACTCTGTGGAACTTGGCAGATTTTCCATCTGCAATTTGGCGGATTCAGAGGGTCTGAAGAAGAAATTAAATGTTGAGGATCGTCTCAGGGAGGCTCAGAACATCAACACACGCATTTTGGCTCTAAGTCGTTGCCTAACATCCATCTATGCGGGGCAACTGATGAAACAACGCTAAGTGCACCTCAGGTCTTTTCACGAGTCCAAATTTACTCAGTGGGGCTCACAGGCTCCATCCAAAAAATGCAAATCAATGGCCCACAGTCGTTGCCCATCAGCTATCATTACATGGAGTTGAAACAGTCGTCTACATCGAGAACTCGGAGAATGTTTCGCTGCTGTAGGAGCTCTCCTTCTACGAAATTGCTGGCAACGAAGTCGTGACAGGAGTTGATAAATTAGCATCTGTGGTGGATCTCATTGTCGTTGTCCTGTCTGAGGAGGACTCACCCAGGGTTGTACCCTCTGTTGCCAAGTGGGTCAAGAGAGATCGAGCTCCGGTACTCGCCATTGAACCTCCTTCTGCTGGAACAGCTGGTATTCCATCAAAATTCAGCCTTTTTGGAGCTCTACCTCTCTCTCACAGTCCGGATAATACCAGGTTGTACTTGTGTAATCTCACACTTGCCAGTAAAGTTTTCTCAGACGTCGTTATGACGTATAAATAACCATTCTGTCCGAAATCCGTTATTCCATTGTATTCTGATGACTCTTAGGAGTTTTGGGGAGGCTGGGGGATCAAGGGGAGAGCACTGGGGTTTTTTTTGAGGCTATTGAAATAATTTCTCCGAGGGTTACAATTGAATATAATTGATTTTTGAAGTTTTAATTCAATAGCCTTGCGACTTTAACACACAGTGA